CTGCCCTCTGTTGCTGAAGTAATGATACTCTAACAGCACTCCGTCACACCTACTGCCCTCTGTTGCTGAAGTAATGATACTCTAACAGCACTCCGTCACACCTTCTGCCCTCTGTTGCTGAAGTAATGATACTCTAACAGTACTCAGTCACACCTACTGCCCTCTGTTACTGAAGTAATGATACTCTAACAGTACTCTGTTACTGTAAAGTACTCTTTTACAGCAGTAACAGTCCTGTTTTATTATCACTCTGCAGTTACAGTATTATTGATTATTGATAAGCTGATCAGTTGTCAGAGCTTACTGTATAATGGCATTATTGATTATTGATAAGCTGATCAGCTGTCAGAGCTTACTGTATCATATTATTGATTATTGATACCTCTCAGACTCAGACCGATGTATCAGATCACTGTTGTGTTTACTGTGTGATGAAACCTAAACGTGATGATGTCACTGATGACAATGTCACCTCTGCAGAGAGCCAATGAGGCGTCCACGCTGGCCTGGGGGACGAGGGTGAAGGGCTTCATCGTCTGCTTCGTGCTGGGCGTCTTCTGCTCCATCCTGGTGAGGGTCTCCATGGTAACAGTCCACTGTCTGTCTGTCTGTCTGTCTCCATGGTAACATCCTGTCTGATTATTCTGCATGTATCCATGGTAACAGATCGTCTGTCTGTCTGTCTGTCACTTTTTAATGTAACATCTTGTCTTGTTGTTTCCATCTGTTTCCATGGTAACAGCTTTTTTTCCTATTGTTTCCATAGTAACCTGTCAGTCTTTCTGCTTGTCTGTATCCATGGTAACGATCTGTTTGTCGGTCTTTCACTTCCTATTGTAAGAGCTTGTCTTATTTTTCCTGTGTGTTTCCATGGTAACCAGTTTATCTGTCTGTATTTTTTCTCTGTTTCCATGGTAACAGCCTCTTTTGTCTTCCTGGCTGTATCCAGGGTAACATTCTGTCTGTGTGTATCCATGGTAACCAACTGACTGTCTGTGTGTATCCATGGTAACAGTCTGTCTGTCTGTGTCTCCATGGTAACAGTCTGTCGGTCTCTGTTTTCCTCTGCTGCCATAACAAAATTGTGTGTCTTGTCTTATTGTCTGTATCCATGGTAACCTCCTGTCAGTCTGTGTGTCTCCATGGTGACCTCCTGTCACTCTGTGTGTCTCCATGGTAACAGGGCAGCTGTCTGCTGTGGGTCCCAGTTGTTGGTCTTGCTGTGTTCGCTGTCCTCTACAGTGTGGGAAACATCTGCGCTCTGGCCAGGTAACGACCACATCATCCCTGAGGTGTACTCTCAGTGTCCTGAACTCTATTACCCATCATCCCTCAGAGCTTCTCTCAGTGTCATGAACTCTATTACCCATCATCCCTCAGGACTGCTCTCAGTGGTTACCTTTGGTTGATGATGTCACATGTCATCCTGTGATCCTGTGTGTGTTTCAGCACCTTGTTTCTGATTGGTCCGTGTCGACAGCTGAAGACCATGTGTGCTAAAGAGAGAGCCTTTGCCACCGCCATCATGCTGGTGAGGTCACACGTGTAATATACAGTGTGCAGTGTATGGTGTGCAGTGTGAAGTATGCAGTGTGCAGTGCACGGTGCGCAGTGTACAGTGTGCGGTGTGCAGTATACAGTGTGTAGTGTGCAGCGTGCAGTATAAGGTGTAGTTTGCAGTGTGCAGTATACAGTGTGTAGTGTACTGTGTAGTATACAGTGTGCAGTGTATAGTATACAGTGTGCAGTTTACATTGTGTGGTATGCAGTCTGTAGTGTAGTATGTAGTGTACAGTGTGTAGTATACAGTGTGCAGTGTACAGTGTGTAGTATACAGTGTGTAGTGTAGTGTGTAGTATACAGTGTGCAGTGTGTAATATACAATGTTCAGTGTGTAGTGTGCAGTATACAGTGTGTAGTGTAGTATGTACTATACAGTGTACAGTGTGTAGTGTGTAGTGTGCAGTGTGTAGTGTAGTGTGTAGTATACAGTGTGCAGTGTGTAGTATACAATGTTCAGTGTGTAGTGTGCAGTATACAGTGTGTAATGTAGTATGTACTATACAGTGTGCAGTGTGTAGTGTACAGTGTGCAGTGTAGTGTGTGGTATACAGTGTGTAGTATACAGTGTGTAGTGTGTAGTATACAGTGTACAATGTGTGGTATACAGTGTGTAGTATACAGTGTGTAGTGTGTAGTATACAGTGTACAGTGTGTCGTATACAGTGTATGGTGTGTAGTATACAGTGTGTCGTATGCAGTGTGCAGCATGTAGTATACAGTGTACAGTGTGTAGTGTGGTGTGTAGTATACAGTGTGTCGTATGTAGTGTGCAGCATGGAGTATACAGTGTACAGTGTGTAGTGTGGTGTGTAGTATACAGTGTGTCGTGTGCAGTGTGTAGTATACAGTGTACAGTGTGTCGTATACAGTGTATAGTGTGGTGTGTAGTATACAGTGTGTCGTATGCAGTGTGCAGCATGTAGTATACAGTGTACAGTGTGTAGTGTGGTGTGTAGTATACAGTGTGTCGT